AGACAGTGCAAGTCACAGTTAACTCTCTGTTGGGTATTTACAACCAATGAACGAAATACTACTACTACTACTACTACTACTACTACTACTACTACTACTTACTACTGACCTAGGTATACTCTCCTTTATTTGTAAGTTGTGTACTAGATAGGCATTTTATCATTTAACATGTGGTACTCTTAGAAATGTTTATATTATTTCAAAAGTCAATGCAATAGATTTGTTTACGTTTATTCCGTGTTAATATTCACTGTGATCTTGGATACACATTATATAAATTGTTTCGGTACATAATATAGGTTACTCTACTATACCTACTTATACTTTACTATACAGTACTGGCTCGGTACAACATTATTGAAAACTAAATGTCTATTTTATCATATGAATTCCGTTCAGCTTATTTAATTATAACTGTATAGAAAGCAAATTGTAGAATAACTCGAACGACATTCAATTGTGTTGCCGCTGTTTCAGATTTCTTTTACTATGAATATATATACCTAAACAGGATACTTTACTAAACTCTCCTTTTTTTGGTGAATTCTGTAGGTACTGGATAAGTGTTTTATCGTAGTGTTCATCGCTTTCTTTACTTTATTTATACAACTAACTTTATTTGTAACATATTATTTACTACTGATGTGTGTTATTTGATATAATAATTTCATATAAATGCACTTATTGCATATGAGTATATAACACACGAGCACATTAAACCTAACCAATACAAGATTATATTAAATATGTATGAACACACAACCATTAAAAGTTAAACTCACCGTATTTTAACTTTTATCACGAGTGTTTACAACCAATGAACAAAATACTTATACTATTTACTACTGACTCTGGTCTACTCTCCTTTAATTGTAAGTTAGACACGTTTATGATATTTAAATGCCTATATAATTTCATAGAAATGCACTTAACCATATTACCAAACAAGCCATAGATTACTTATGTTTACATCACTGATATTGTATACTTAACATTGTGTTTAAAGTAATACTATTTTACATTCTACTGTTGGTTTTTATTATACGTTGTTACTAATACGTTAGTGCAGCAGTTCTCTTTGAGTATGGATTTTGACGTTCAAATTATTATATATTTAATTATTTAGAATTATAAATACCTTAATATTGTACCTACTCTAAACTCGACCTAACTTTTAGGTACTTGGTGATGCCGCGGATGGAGAGGAGGACGTGGAAGGAGTGGTGGTCCAGTTGGATGTGGTGGAAGGAGTGGAGGTCCAGATAGAGGACGTGGGACGAGTGGAGGACGTGGATGGAGAGGAGGTCCGGATGGAGGACATGGAAGTAGTCGACGGTCAGGTGGACTGGAATGGGGAAGTGGCAGAAGTCCAGATGGATGGGGTTGAGAACATGGAAGTGGTTGAGGACGTGGAGTACGTGGAAGTGGTAGAGGACATGGAGTACGTGGAAGTGGTAGAGGACGTGGAATTGGTGGAGTACGTGGAAGTGGTCGACGACGGGTTGGAGGAAGTGGTGGAGGACGACTTCCCGGAAGACGAGATTGAGTACGTGTTAGTGGTCAAACTACCCATAGGGCGTGCGCCAATCTTTAACCGGCAGGCGGGCGTGACTCACCCGCTTCCAGAGCGGCACTACGTGGGCGCGTTGGACAGAGTCTGCAGACATTGTAACGCCCGCTACTTCATTGGCGAGGAAACAACCCGGGGTCATTTCTCCTTGTGTTGTAACAACGGCCAAATGGTCGCTGCAGGACAACACGCGTTGTTGCCGGTACCCTATTTAATACAGAGTTTGTTTATAGATGATTAACAGGAGGGTCGTAGATTCAGAGAAAACGTTCGGCGGTTAAACAACCTTCTGGCATTCGCTGCGTTCGCCTGCACCGCACACGACAGGCTTTTGCCAGGGCGGGGACCGCCGGTGTTTATTGTCCACGGTCAGACCTACCGGACGACCAACAATGAGGTGAACGTTGCCCCGGAAAATGCGTACAACTGTCAGTTGTATTTCTTGGAGTCCGCAGAGGCCAACCGCCGGCGCCTCGATAATGCACAACGCACAAATCACCCACTGTGCGAAATCGTGATTGCTCTATTGGACGGTTTGCTGCGGGACATCAACCCGTACGCAATGGCTCTTATGTAAGAAAACTTAAACTATTGTATTTATGAACACTAGGAATGTGAATTGCCCCTTAGAGTAAATACATTTTACACATGTCTTTCTTACAGTAGATAAAAAAAATAGAATTAATAATGATTTAAAATAATGTATACATAGCAAATACATAGGGTTCAGATGTTTATGACTTAACATATTTATGTAAATTTGAAGTAACTATCTTGGGGTACATTTAATAATATATTTTATACACATTGAATGTGATTCTCTACGCTTATTACACCTACACACGGGCACACAAATATTTATAATATATCCGCTACCAATATAGAGTTAAATGGATTGAATGATCGGATGTTTTTATTACACGTATAAAATTATTTCTAACGATATGACTGGACGATATTTAGATACCTACCATTAGGTTACACACCTACATTATATTTTAGTTTGCTCCATACACACCAATTACTATTGATCAATACATTTTAGGTAATATGATTTGTTCTCAGCTCTACAATCAGCTCCCTTATATTTTGTACACATCACGGAGTGTGTTTAACATAAATATATAAATATATTCGTTTCAGGAACATGCGCCAGGTGTGGCTGGCAGAAAGAGCCCTAGCCGACCCCGCAGCTGTTCCCCCTAGACCGGTCAGAAGATGCGGCCCGGGATAGGGGCCGGAACAACCTGCCTACCGCAGATGAAGTTGCGGCCGTGTTCGTGGGTGAAGGTGGTCGTCCTCCCAGACGCATCGATCTGGTCATCTTCGACAACAGTCCAATCGACCTGCCATACAGAACGCAGA